TTAAGAAGCAGATTAAACTTTTACAATATAATGAATATCTAAATAAAAAAAAGTATACGACACTCTTGTTGGATGTTTGTAATAATTCTGATAATAATTTAGTACAATTGTGACAAATCCATATAAGATATGATATTTTTTAAACCAAAAAAGTATTTCAATAAACACTGATTATGTTTTATTCAAATTATTATATGCTTTATTGTTATTAAATTATTGAACGTAGCATATGTTCAATATAGCAAAAAAGATAAAAAATATTAAATTAAGAAGTACTTTCTTATTCATATATATTTCTACATATTTTATATATACATATATCTGTATATTTCATTTTATCACAGTCATTTATTATAAAAATTCTAATCATCCGTACCACATAGGGTTTTGCAATCTTCGTAAGTTTTAAAATTATTTCCATTTCCTCCGCAACCTCCATACGAATAGACTTCACAATCCTTCGAAGTTGCATTATACCAATATCTTATTTCAAAATTTTGGCAAGGGCCAGTCACAAAAGGGAGGTCACAATCTGTGAAAAATATACATTGTGCAAAATTATATTATAACGCATGCAATAAACCATAAAAAAATTACATATTAATTTATGTACAGTAAAATATCTATTTTATCATTGCGGTAAAATAAAACTGACAACTTCATATTTTCGCAATTTACGACAATTTATGATAATTAAATATATGCATTAAATAATTATTATAACGATTTGAGTTCTCCAAATTACATGAAAAGTATTATAATAGCAAATATAATAAAAAATTACTGTGTGTGTTTAATGTGAGAGAATAAAATACTTACAATCAATCTTACTTAATGTCGCATGCGTCAACATACTGAAGGAAGCAAGTACGAATAATAAGTTTGTTTTGAAACCCATTTTTTGTGTGTTGTCTTAATTGACTTTCTGATAGTTACGTTTGATCAATATAATATCTCTTTCTCGGAAAATTTTATTATGAATAATTACCATACGTATTAATCTAAAATTCTATAAATTTAATGTTAGTCATATCATCACATATAAAGATTAATGTTCTAACAAGTGAATCATAATATCTAATCTGATTTATGTATATAATTATCTACATTAATTCATAAGTTATTTTAATAAATAACGTAATTTATCTGTTCTTTATAATAATTTTAAATCGTAAAATTAGCACTGTTCATTATTTATCACATGTATGCATATAGTAAAAAAAAGAATATAATTCTGTAGAAGAAATGTGAATAATATTGTAAAATATTAACGATTATTTCTTCGATACATTTACTATGCAAAAAAGGGCTGCAAAATGTGTTGTGTCTATTAGTTTTATTCGCTCGAATGAAATTTGTACGTTCTGCATTATTTGGTCCCGTCACGATTAAAACATAAGCTAATCATAGTGTGAAAAATTTTTACGTTATAGTTACGATGCGTATGTGAGTTTTGAACACAGCATTTTGACGAAAGAAATCGTTAATGTATAAGATTTGCTTATAAAATTTATCACCTATATTAAATCAAACCTAACTGAATGTAATACATAAAATTAATTAATTAAAATAAGTTCTTTCGATATTATCTGATTTAATTTCCATAAAAATGCATATAGTAAAGAAAGTTGTTGGAAAAATGACAAAACCAGAATTGTTTAAATAATTTCAACTCTAATTAAAAGTAAAAGTGAATTTAATGTTGTGATAAAGTTGATTGAAGGTCACTTACCAAATTTTAATAGATTTCTTTTCCTAGGAAGAATCGAGTTCGATGTGGTAAGATTCTTTCACTCTTTGTATATGTCCAAGCAAATCGCAAGAGACGTCTGTTACCGTGATCGGCCAAAAGACAACAGGATCACGATCGATCCTTTGTCGATTCCGAAATCTCCCTTCTATAACCGTACGCAGAGATTACGCATTGTCTGCTAATAACATGGCTGATAAATTGCGAATATCATCGTTGTGATATCCTGTGTGCATGATATAAGGCTTCGAGAGAAAGAACACCTATTTAAAATCTCACGGTGCTCGCAATAAATATTTCCTATTATATCCTAGTTATAATCTCAACCATGTACTCATCATAAAATACGTGTATACATTGTTTAATATTTCAATAATATTATAAGTAATATTATACATTTCATATTATTTTATTTTTGAATAAAATGTTTTGCAAATCCCAAAACAGATATCATTTATTTTATTTATATAGTTTTAACTTTAAGATTAAACTTTATAGTTTACTTTATAATTTGCCAACCAATTGAAATGATGAACGAATTAAATTTCGCAGAGCTTTTGCATCTAATTTCGTTTATAAATTATAGAACGCTAATTGTACCCAGTTTACGTAAAATGGATAGAAAGGGTATGATATTTTTAAATTACGTAAGTATAATAGAAAACATTAATTATTCTTAATTCAAATTACGTGTTTTAATGTTATTAATCTATTGTAGTATTATATATTCAATATGTGGTAAAATAAATAATATATAATAAAAAAAGAAACAAATACGAAAAAAATGTTAAATTTTTGTTACATATGTATTTCAATGGATAATTTAATTTTGTTACAGTCAATTCTTATAAAAATAAAGAATTTGTACGAATATCTGATCAGAATTTCATACAGTCTTACATTCCCGTTTAAAAACCGTATGGAGGTGGATCTTTTGGCCAAAGACAAATTTTTTGGCACGAGCGTTCGGTATCGAACCTGTTAGCATTCCCACCACAACCACCCCACACAAATGTTAGACAATCATTTCTCGCTTTGTCGTAATAAAATTTCACTTCATAGTGAGAGCAATCACCCACATCAAAATTGTATTCGCACCACCAAGCTGTAAAAACGATATAATACACCTCAAATTAAGTATAATGAAAATCTAATAATCTTAATAAATAATGGATAAAAATTGTTAAATGTATAAAAATGTGTACATTTTAGACAATTCAAATTTTGTAATTTATGTTAAAAATATTGTAACAACAAATGTAATAAGAGATTAATGTGTACAATGTGAGAAAAAAAACACTTACGTTTGTAATATTTTACACGACGTGCTGGGTTTGCTATTGTCGTATGTATTAGAAAGAGTACACTTACAGCGGCGAGAAGAAATACCAAGTCTGTTTTCAAACTCATCTTGTAACATTCAAATTTGTTGCGTTTCTCTGACGTATTATCTACGAAAATTGTGTTGTCGATAATCACAATGCAATAATTTGAAATTTTATACATATATTTGAGCTCATTTCAATTATATAATTCAAATGCAACAGCGGAAATTAATGAATGCGTAAATAAAGGAAACACAACGAGAAATTTTTCTAATATTAGATATAATGAAAGATAATTTGCTGGAGAGAAAATTAATTAAAAATAACTTACCAAATGCCAATATATTGTTTCCTCTTTACTGCGCAGAATTCAATATGGTCAAATTTTTCGTCTTGTATATGTCCCAGCAAAACACGAGCTCAAAAGACATCTGCCTCTGTGATCGTCCAAAAGACTACAGTACGGAGGGTCGCGATCGGTCCTGCGTCAATGCCGAAATTTCTATCGCATAACAGTGTGAGAAGCATGCGCAATAGTCTGCCAATAACATAATAGTTATTCGAAAATACCTGAATCTTACCACCGTTGTGTGCGACACAATAAAACCCCGAAAGGACATCAACCGAAAAAAGTTTCCTAAATCTTTTAAAATATTTATTTTAATAAGTCTTTGGCGCAATACAAATCCAGATCTTTAACCAATTATAATATTGCAATAATATTTTGATTTTACTCATTGCTATTTTTTTTTAGAAGGAACTATTTTACTAATTTTACTCTCTACATTTTACAAATTTTGAAGCAAGCATAATTTTATTCATATTATTTTAATAACATTATAAGCTTGAATTGCGTAGCTTACTTCAAATAAAAATTATAAGTATGGGCAAAATAATATATATCTATAACTATAAGTATAAATTAATAAAAAATATTTACTTTTTTTTATTTAAAATTTGCTAAAGCTATTGTACTATGTAAAAAATTGTATGCAAATTATTTGTTAAAATGTTCCCATTATGGAAATTAAATATTTTCATAATTAATATTTAATTTAAATATGTTGACTGCTTAATAATTTTAATTAATTTTTATAGTAATCCACATAGTTTATCATGAAAAAAGCAGTAAACAACACGTTGACAATACGTTAATTGTTTACGTATGTAATATCTTTATTATAAACAATTATGGACTTGTAATAGATATTGCAGATTTCGATTTTGCGTTATTGTGAAATTTTGCAATGTTATTTGCATTGAATTTTTTTCTTACATAAGTTTCCGTGCGGATGAGCAACTGGATTCTCTTTTAAATCGTCACGGATTGTATTTATATAAGTACTGGCGATTGCAATCCTCGATAGTTTCACTAACAACGGACCCCGCATAAACTGCTAACATCTGCAATTGGCAGCTGCGCCAACTGCGTATAACGATCCCGCGAGGATGCATCTTCCCATCTTGTACTACAATGTACAATATAGGTCCTTCGTAACGACTAGTAGGGCGCAGATCGTTCTTCGCCATCACATACATACTAGAACAAGTTCCGCTAACGAATAGATCGAATTGGGGAAGCGGCAAGTGAATTGCTAGAATCGATAAAGTAGTGTATTTGAAATAATTGTTCTAATAAACCAATGGCTGTTTTCTATTAGTTTTTGAGTTTCGAACAAATTTCATTATGCAGCAATGTAGCGTACGAAATAATGCTCCAGGTAAATCAATATTTAAAATCGATAAGATAAGAGAAATGAATCATTCATTTTCCGAATGCAACGCACCGTTTTATCAAAATTATCAAAATCCTTTGTTTAATGCAATATGCAGTGTACGAGTAATCTGTGAACATTCAAAATTGGAACGGAAAATTGACGAAACTTTGACGAGAAAGTAATTTACGTCAGTCAGTCAATCTCTTCTGATCGCGTGCGATTCGTGCAATTCAAGTAGATATTTTATACGTTAAACACTTTTTTTCAAATAAAAGTCAATATTTATTTGAGAATAAAAAAAGTTATTGCACGCGTAAGGAATCGAATAACATAAATTTTTTCTTCGTTTAAAATTTTATGAGGTTTTCCTAAATGTTTACAGATTAGCTGCACATATATCGCAGTGGACATCGGAATTTCGAGGAAACGGCACGCTGCATTGGAAGATAGATAGCTTACTTGTTCTTCCTTTTCTCGGGGTTTAAGTACCACGTCGTAAAATCCGAGCGACGAGTTCATTTCGCGGGCAGCATCGATTAAACGCGCTGGTTATCGGAAGGTTTCGAAATTAGTTTGCCGCAAACTCCGAGGCGAGTGTCAGCTAGCGCACGATAACTTCCGCCGTTTCGACTACGTAGCAGTTTCTTCTCTGTTTCCTCTCTCTCTCTATTTCTCTCTCTTTCCATCCCACTTTCTCTTTCTCTCTCGCAAAACGTGATAATATCGCATATACCAATCCTATCACGCGTGAAAGCATCATTTCCGAGATATTGAGCATATGAACTTTTTTTGGACCACGACCAGCTTTTGTGTGACGTGTCATATAAAGCGAAAACATCGCGAAACTTCAACTCCGAGTCACCGCATTTCGCGTTTATTCGAAAAGTTGTATGCTGCACTTCCACCTTTCGCTGCTCAATCTAGTTCGAAGTGTCCGTGTTATAAAAGTATTAGAAATTTACATGCTGTAATCACTCATCATATTTGAAAATACGTTCGTAAATTGTTAATGAAGATACGCGCCGGGTCCAAAATTCACTTCTGAAAGTTCGATATACCTATAGATTGATCTGAGCGATCCATCTCCGCCGGGAGAACGGTGATTTACATATAACAAGGCACCGCCAATGATTGCCCGTGAATACATTAACCCGCGCTCGACGCAGCGGCGATTAACTACCGCACATATCTTTAAATGCTGCCGTAATAGAGCAACGTGTGAGTTATGTAGGAACGGCGATGGGAAAATACGAGGAAACTCTCGCGGCCAATAAGTGTTCGCGATAAATTTGGAGAATATTTCGCGGTTTCTTCTTTCTTCCTCTTCTATGTCAGTTGGAATTTATTGGGCAAGAGCGCGGGTCGTTTCTTGAGATATTGCGTCGATATCGTCGGAGATGCCAGTTTCTACGGCTTTACTCGATATTAGAGTGCAAAATAAATGAATTGTGTCCTTTTTCTAAAGCTGTTTTAATAAGACTATTAATCGGCGATTTTCAATGAAAAAGATTCGCGACGAGAAAATGGAATCGTTAATAAATTAACATTTAGCTACATTTCGCAACATTTGACATCTTTAATCTTTACTTTGTTTACATTCATTTTCGCAATTTAATTTGTTGGGATAATTATTGCCGTTTCCACCACAGCCACCGTACACGAATACTTCGCAACTTCCACTTGGCATATATGCATATCTGATAATGTGGGCTCGGCAATGTCCCTTAACCGGTGGTTCGTCACAATCTATAAAATTATATTAAATAATACACTGATTTTTTATCAATATTTGCCTTATTAGCTCATTTGGCATATTAACATATATTTATCGGCAACGTAAAACAAATTTGCAATAACTGAAATAAATAATTGCTAGAATTTAAGGAAAGAGTACTTACGTTCTGGTCGTACAGCTATGGCGTTGCGCGCTAGTACGCAGATAACCATTAGCGTAAGTAAGAAGGACATTTTACCAGCCATGATTGCACAGTTGCTTCTGCAACTATCAACTGTCGGATTTCTTCGTGGAGATTAATATTCGAGAACTCGGTAACACACTATGCAGATTATGCACCAGTTTAATGTCATATACGCTCGGATTCTGTTTATAAAAGCTGCGCAGTGTGCACGAGAGGGGATTATCATTTTAACGACTAAACTACACCAGTAAGTGCCACCATATTTATGTACGTAAATTTACAAGCATTGTTGCTTATCTATGCAAATATTTCCGCATTTTTGTGTACGCAGAGTCTATCATTCGTATCATGCATACGGGAAAAAGTGTGACCGAAATATTTCTTCACAAGCATAACGGCATACACGCAGTGACGATAGCACTAATAGTTAGGCGCAGTAAAAAATAACAACGCTCTATAATTTAGCGGTCACATGCTACAGCTCTCACTTTGTTTGCATAATGTTATCTTTCCATTGCAAAGTTTATCAAGTCTGACATGTGGCAATTTTTTTTTTTTAATATCGAATGTCGTGCCGTCACGTTTTGCGAGTCTCTTCTAACGAAAAGTTCATTCTAACGATAACCGCAAGGCCAGTGAAAATTGTATTACACGCAATAATGGATGACAAACATGCGATGGATTGTAGCTTGAGATTAATTTACTTTATAATTTTCTCATGTCTGCAGAAACTAATCTTTTTGGCAATTGCCGGTACTTGCATGCAGTCGACAAACAATACGACATTAATTTTCAATTATTTTGCTTCATATGTGGATTTATATGTATGAAATAAACCGTGAAACACGCGTTTGGAGCCACACGTACCGTACGATAAGTGCGCAATCTTCCTCGAGTAACAAGCCGCGTCATTTTTCCGCCTACATACGGGGCTCCCGTCTTTATCTTTTAGCCTTTTTTCTGCGCAAAGGCACCCTTCCTCTTTTGCAATCAACCGCTATAAAGACCCTCACGTATAGTCTCTCTCATCCCAAACCGTTCTCCGTACCGCCCGCGCTGTACCACTTATCGATACTAGCTTCGGGCGTTCAACGTTGCTGAACTCTAGTGCCTGTTACGTCCGATCCCTGACTCTTTGTTCGACCGTTATCGTTAAGAACAAAAACCATCGGAACAACAGCGACAAGGATAGAAACCGACCGAGCGCACTTTCAAAAGCACTGTTCCCCGCTTATGTAAGATTCGTAAGCCTCGAGGAATTCAGCGTCCGTCGGTTTCTAACGCTGCCGTATTAATGCTTCGATTTGCATACAATCGGAGCTGATCTTTCGACCAAGCACAACGAGAATCATTAGCCACTTTTGGAGCAATTAACGACCGCGTGTGATCTCAACAATTTGCTGAAATTTGCGAAAGGGAATCCCGAATGAATTATTTTACACATTTGTTACGTAATAGACATAGCTTTTCTCATAAGGTTGAAAATGCAGCTGCGCTTGCACGTTTTCGCGGTATCCACATGTGGATACTGAATTAAGAAAAATGTAAAATGTACATTCGTCACACTTCCGAGTCCAAGAGGGGATCATAAATCCTTTCGTGTCGCACGTCGTTCTCAAAAATTGATAGATTGCTGCGAGGAATGCAACGGGTGAGCGACAACAACCGTGACATCCCCGGAGATGCATAAGCCGCTCTCGGAAATATTTTAACGATTTAAATTATATGAGTTACGACGTGTACGAAGCGACGTGCACGCATCGCTGTAAAATCAGAAGCATTATTGCCGTTAAAACGCGTGTCGTAACCTGCACTAAATCGAGGGGGGGAAATCGCGAGAGTCGAGTAGCTCGCGTCGCGCGAGCAACTTCGCCGACGAAACGAATACAAATAGAATGGCGATAATGCCGTTACGCGGCTGTACATCGCGATCGATACTTCCATGATTTAATGAACGTCGGCGGTACACCGGTAACCGGGTGTTTTACGATAATATTATACAGTTCGTACCGTCGCGGTCCCACGCCGCGCCATTGTCTGAATCGGTGGGGACTAGACTTCCTTACCTGGCCACTCCGACGAGCATTACTCTTGTCTAAACAATGGATGCCGTTCGGGTGGATATTAATTACGGATTGGTTAGCACCGAAAATATCCGCTGGTGTACAATGGTAATCGTAAGTTGGGACACGAATCATCCGACTTTGAATGCGCGTTTTAACTAGCGACTTTAGGTCACTTCGGAATACGTAATTTCCATAATATTGAATCTACGTAAGCCGCATCTCAGCAATGACCATTCGTTCCTTTCCTATTTTTAGCTCAATTATTTATTTATGCGTATTTAGAAAACAAAAAGATGAATAATAGCTGTGAATTATTCCCTAATCCTGTATTTTTATTAGATTTCGATTCTCGATCGACACATCCTTAATTCAAATATGTGCAGAAATCATCTCAGATTGCTGTAATAAAAAAATTTATTATTTTTCATGCTAACCAATCCAACGATATTCGAGATGCTCTTAGCTAAACGAACACGTTCTGCGGCAAGTAAAAAGATTATCTTTAAGACTTGGCGGAGAAAAGCTCTCGCGCGTTAAGATGCGATATCATGATAATCAGGAGTTTTTATAAGAACGAGATTACTTTTACATTCTCCTCTTGCTTTTCGCAATAGATTTTCTACGTAATAGTATCGTAATTGACAACATAATTATTGTCGCATTCTCATTATTCATAATTATGACAACGCGTAATTAACGGCGCAATGTAATTTTCAGTTGCTTTTAACGCGCTTAAAAAGCCGCAGGTGTGAGAATATAATAAAGTCGAAAATTATCATGTCGAACGCTTTCGAAAATAACTCTCACGGCCGAATTCATCCCGCTCGTGATTTCGGTGAAAATAAAAATATCACGAAACTCAGGAGAACAGGTGCAATTTTTCGTCCGGCGTTCAAGGCAAGCCGGTTGCCACCTGTTTCAATACGATCCTTACTCGAAGCCCTTGAAAAATACATTCCTTCTTGGCTCCAGCTCTATAAAACTGGCCATCTTCTCATCAACTAGGACAGTTTTATCCGAGTAATCTTAGAAATGGAAAATATTATCGTCAGATCGTCTTCGAAATGAAAAAGATTGGAATAAAAAACGAGTTCTAGTTTCTATGAATCGTTAGAGAAATTGAAATCTAATAATTTCAACGTTTTTGATCGCTTCTTCGGATTGAATATTGTCGGATGTGTGATAATTTCCGATGAAAGGAAGCCAAGTATATCTTCGACGTGAAATAATTATTCTATCAAGATAAAGTGATATCGATTGACGGATTTAATTGCGCTGAAACGAAATATGCGAAATGCTGTATCCTGAAATTGATATTGAAGAGATTGAGCCCTCGGTTCTCTTTAATTCGCCTTTAAGTAAGTAACCCGAGAGATTTCGTATCTGATTATTTCGCGGGGAAGAGCTATATTCGATTAGCGGAGTAATATTTCTCCGGAGGTAACAACTCATTCGGTTTTAACCGTAATCCTTTCCGCCGAGCTTTCGTTTTGCGAATTCCACTTAAATTCCCGCATAATAGCCTTGTTGTACACATATTGAGACGCCGTCGAAAGCCGAGAAACACGACTTCGATCGCATTGCCGTAGCTATCGGAGCGACCTTTGCGTCATTCTTGCCGATCATCAAGAGACATTTGATATATATAAAATAGGCCGTTCTCAGCTCGCTCGGAGATCGATACGATAATCGCACGGCCACGAAGTCTTCGAAGTCGCTTGCACTTGATTTACAGCTTCCTGCCGCATGGATCGTGCACCAACAGCGGCAGTAGAAGCAGCAGCAACGGCAGCAGCCGCACCGGCAGTAGCGTCGGCAGCACGAGCAATTCAGCGCGCGGTGAATTGTGCTGAGCTCGTGCTGGCAAGACGACGTACGAGTGATTTGCATGCGCACTCACGGCCCGTGGGAGGAACGGGCATAATTTGGCAGGTAAGCCGTTCGCCACGGCCGGCGTATCGCCTGTGACGTTTGGTCAACGACAATTAACAGGCTTCGGCGTCCGTCGAATCGCGGTAACGGTCGAACATCAGCCGTGAGAGACTTTCACGAAAGAGTGACCGGAGTGGAACGGCATTCATCGAGAATTACCGTATACGCGCTGTTCTAAAGAAACGGCATAGGGGGGGGGAGCGGAAGGGGGGGGGTGCACTTGAATTTTATTTATCTTAACTCGATTGAATTTCGTTGAAATTAATTTAATAAAAGTAATCGCATCAGTGAAAGCGCTTCGAACGGAAGATTTAAAATTCAATCTGAGTTTTAATTACCGACGACATTATTCTATGACATAGAAAATTGAAGAGTTAATTAAAAGGTTGTACTACAAATAGAAGTGCCTGATTACATTTTCGAGAAGTGGCTGCTAAATTTCAATTTAATTTCGTAAATTAAATAAAGCTCGTTTGTGAGATTTACAACTGCGTAGCGAAGCTACAGGCGACTACACAATGATGAAGCATTTGCAATAAAACACACAGTTTCGGTACGGTAATTTATGATGAGAGTTGATAAAATTTTAATAAAATATTAAACAAACATACATCGACAATCACGATAGTTTGCCGATAGCGAAAATTAAAATTAATTAAAGCTTTTACTTAGTAATTGATTTAATACTAATGCATAATCAACGATACGGTATGTTTTCATAATTCGTTGCTCGTCAAATATATTCAGCGTTTAATACCGCTCAATTTGTATATTATTATTAATACGTTTATCTCTCTAAAATAACGTATTGACGACATGTGCCTTGAATAAAGTACCACGCAAAAAAAATTAAAAAAATGATATTTATATACTTTTGACGATTGCAAATATAATACGTAACAAACTTTCGTTCTTCATCGTGGCCTTATTAACGCAATCTCGATAATGATCGCGTACAACTTGAAGGTAAACGAGTAAAATATGCGATGGGCAGTACGTGTATCCCTTTGCTTCTTTCTTTATATCGGTCGTTAGAAAAGTGCTAAATGTCTGGAAATGATCGTGCTCGATAATTGATCGCCACTCAATAATAATTACATCGGAGCCCGTAATTGAAATCTTTATAGCCGGTTTATGCATCCGTATGCGCGTTTATAAACGCGTTTATTTCCCTTTTACGATCGCGACGCGCATTTACACGAATACGTATTAATGTCACGGGCGGACATAACGGTGATATCACCTGACAAAACTTCGTCAATAAAAGACCGCGTCAAAGAGCCGCTTGATGTACGTTGCGAATAGTCGACTGGATTAAGTTCGCGAAAGCGGAGATTTGAACGCGATCTCTTAATGACTCCCACGATTTCGACGGGTGTGGTTGAATGCCGGCGGAAACGACGCGCGTTACGTGCTACGAGG